GATCCACATTCCTTTCGAGGTTGAGAATCCATTGGGCCTCTTGGCACCTGTTGAGGCGAGGAGGGTTTGGGTCTGGGATTTCAACCCCCACATTTCCTTTAGTGGGTTGTTTTCCAATAGGATTGTCTTGATTGACATTATTGGCTCTGATTTACACCATCCACTGGTATACAGCAAGAATGAGAAACAACTTTGGTTGTCAAGCTGTTTCCCACAACGACACCAAACTGTTGGTGTAAAAAATATGTCCAACTATTCTGAAAGTTGTTTGTTGTTGATCTGGGTCGGGCTACACCTTTTCCTGAGCTTTGAGTGAGGTTTCCGGCTAATATGGTACCTGAAAAGAAATTCGTAGATTGGAGGGTGCTCCAGGGGTCGACCCTCTGATGCTCAAGTTAGTATCTAGGAAATTAAGGCGCAATTATTGAACTAGACTTAGTTTGCTTACATGGATCTTACCCCGGAGGTCCCCCTTTATAGTATTTTGATAAGTGTTCCAAGGAGAGTTCCTAGTAGTTTGATTTTGTCTGATCTCTTTTCGGTTGAAGAATCTTGACTTCTATAGACTTTATCTTTTGTTGGGATAACCATTCAAAGTCCTAGCTGCACTAGGACTTTGTTTGATCACGTGGATAAGGCTTGTTGATGGTGAGATCTTATTCTAATCCCTTGTCTGCCTTATCTTCTTCGCAGCGTTAAAACGAGTCATTCTTTTTGAACGAGTCTTTGGTAAATAAGGTTTCTATTTTTAAAATTGGGGATAAGCTTTACCATCTTTCTAGTTTCTTTATCTCACCAGGTTGGAGAAAACTAATTACATGCGCACAATATTTCTCCAACTTTCCTTTCTTACTAACAGGTCAGTCAATGGTTGTATTTTTTAAGGCAATGTCAACTAAGACCTTTCCCTTAGTTGAGATTAAATTTTATACTATCAGGTACTATTGGTGCACGTCCGATTAATACGCCTATGGAATCTATAGTTAAGCTAGATCCTGAGAAGAGATGAGTCTTTGATGATATAGGATAATATCGACGATTAATTGGTAAACTAAGTTATCTTACAATTAAACGCTCTGATATGGCATATGTCATTGGTGTGGTTAGTCAGTACATTCATGCCCCTTGTAAGCCTTATTAGGAGTTTGTCTTCATATACTTCGATATCTAAAAGGGCTTACAAGGAATGATTTATTATATCGTTCATCATCATTCACAACTATTGTTGGTTTTTGTGACGTTGATTGATAGCTAGTCATCGTAATAGATGATCTATGTCTAGGTATTACACATTTGTTGGTAGTAATCTTATTACTTGGTGTAATAAGAAGCATAATTGTGTGTTCTCGTGCAGAGGCTGAGTATCGTGCTATATCACATACTGCTTGTGAGATTTTATGGGTCTATTCTTTACTCCATGATATAAGACTTGATGTGTATTCCCTTGTGAGGATACACTGTGACAATCAAGCAACTATTTTCATTACAAGTAATCTAGTATTTTATAAGCGTATCAAAAACATTAAAGTGGATTGTCATTTTATTCAAGATCTGTTGATGCGAAAGGAGACTATTACTCCATATATTAAGTATGGTGATCATCTGGGTGATATTCTTACCAAGTATTGACTCGATCCTCCTTTAGTAGTTTATGTTCCAAATTAGACATTTTTGGTATATATGCTCCAGCTTGAAGGGAAGTATTAGAGTAATATTATAATTACTCTAATATTACACAGTTATAAATAAGAGAGAATGTACGACAACCTAAACCTACACATGGATTATTCTCTTCCTTTTCTTCTTTTTTCTTACCCTAATTCCATTCCTACAATTTCAATTATAATGTTGGATAAAGTATGTTCAAAATTTGCATGTATTCCCTCTTGTATGTTCATCAAAAAGAAAAAAAAAGAAATGAAATCCCACATTGGTTGTGGCAAGAGTTTCATGTTCATTGTTAAACTCTCATCTACTTCTCTAAAGTTTAGATCCTTTTGGAGGTGGTGCTTGGGCTTGTTGGTCTTTTTAGGCTCTTGCGACTGTAGTATGATATTAGTTAAAGTATGTTCAAAATTTGGATTTATTCCCTTATGTGTGTTCATAATATACAAGCCCTATGTCCTAACCCCTAAGCCCTCCATAGTTTTTGCTAAGTTAAATTTATATAATGTCACACTTTGATAAATCTCTTGCAAATCTTCTTGTCAATTTCTTATAAGTTTTGATTTCCTTTGGCACCTAACCATATTATTCAGTTACCATAAGATAGGAGTAAACTTAGTATTTCAGAAAGTAAAAGTGAAAGAATCCAAAAAATTGAGAAAATTCTAGAAAAACTAGAACAAACAAAACTTGAACTAGTAACACCTCACAGTTCTACTATCCATCAAGAATATTAAAAACTTTTGATTTAATATATCATCTTGAAATTTTGAGATACGCAAGAAGATAGCTAAAATCTCTTTTTTAATAGTATTATAATTACTTTGTGCTTTGTTCCAGATTCAAGAATGAAAGCGAACAATTTGTTCAGAAGAATTTGGATCAACTCTTTGGAGTAGAATGCCACCATAACCATAACCATCCGGTGTTTTCACAAAATTTAAATTAACCCCCCACAATTTTTAAAGAAAATATAAAACGAAAAAAACTCTCTAAAGTCTAAACTTCATCTCAAAATCTGAATAATTTTTTAGCAATAAAATTTCTTTATTAAAGTGGTAATTGGGATAAATAGTAAATTTAGATGTCATGAGTTCAAATCTTGGCAAACTGTTAGTGTCATTCAATGAAGAATTTATCTCTTATAAATACTTTAGTTTCCCGCTTGGATGACTTGTTTTTTAATCGGACCAGTGAGACACAAGCCGCCCCGGACACCTAGCGACCCTCAAGTAGAGATTTTTCTTCTATAAATATTTTAGTCTCAGCGTGAATGATTTATTTTTGATTAATAAAGTGCAAGCTAATTCGGACACCCACCAGGATTGAGAAGGAGATTAGTTGTACTGTACGTAAAATTAATCAGGACACTTTTAACTTTTGACAAATATATATATATATATATATATATATAT